TCTCATACCACAAATATGCATGCCATCCAAATACATTATTAAAACCTTCAAAGTCCAAAATGTCTGTGTTTTCAAGAAGCAGCCATTCTTTCAGCCAGCAAGAAGCTGCTGATTCATAATAAAGTTTAAGGTCTGGCAGGGCAAATCCACCTCTTTCCTTTGCATCTGTTAGTATTTTAAATTTTATTCTGGGCTTCTTGCCCTGCCAGACAAATCTAGAGATATCTCTCTGCCACTTCTTGAAGCAATCCATTTTGTCCAAAATTTGCAATGTTTGAAACAAAAACAACATTCTAGGCAATACATTCATTTTTATCGCAGCAATACGGCCTAGCTGTGAAAGCTTCAAATTTGACCAAATTTCTAAATCTTTTTTCACTTCAGCCCAACATTTTTCATAATTGTCTTTAAATAGATTCCCATTTTTAGCTGTCATGTTAATCCCCAGGTATTTCACTTTCTTAACCACTGTTAAACCTGTCTCATTCTGAAACCTCTCTCTCTCAATCGCTGTTAAATTTTTCTCTAAGACCTTTGTTTGTGGATAGATTCCTCCAAGTTGGTAGGCCCACCACCTGCCATCTTGATCCGTGCCCGTCTTGGCTGATTAGGGCATGTCTAGATGTCTCGCAGTCCCCCTGGTTGAAATTATCAATTTATCCCTTGCCACGGGGACATTCCCAGGGGAACAGAAGGAAGCAGTGGTGTGTCCGCTCTTAAAGAAAACTTCACTAGATCCTTTAGACCTGTCCAATTACTGCCCAGTTTCAAACCTTCCATATCTGGGTGGGGTAATTGGGAGAGCGGTTGCTGAACAGCTTGGTAGGTTTCTGGAGGAAACATCGGCTTTAGATCCATTTTAGTCCGGTTTCCGTCCTGGTTTTGGGACCGAGACAGCTCTGGTTGCCCTAACAGATGACCTCCTTAGACAACTGGATCGAGGCGGGTCAGGACTGCTGATCCTTTTAGATTTGTCAGCAGCCTTTGACATGGTTGATCATGATCTTCTGGACCACCGCGTCACCGACGTGGGGATACAGGGCATAGCCCGTAAATGGCTGTGCTCTTTTAACTCTGGTTGGGGACAGAGGGTGGCACTAGGGAGGGAAATGTAGTCATGCCACTCCTTGGTGTGTGGAGTGCCGCAGGGCGCAATCCTCTCCCCGACGCTTTTTAACATCTTTAGGCACCCCCTTGCCCAGATTATCCGGAGCTTTGGGCTGGGCTGTCACCAATATGCTGATGACACTCAGCTCTATCTGCTGATGGATGGCCACACCAACTTGGCCCCAAACACACTGACCAGATGTTTGGAAGCTGTGGCTGGATGGTTTCGTGGGAGCCGATTGAAACTAAATGCTTCGAAGACAGAGGTCCTATGGCTGGGTCGAGATGGCATGGGGATGAGGGACCAACTCCCTTCTCTTGCGGAGGCCCAATTAGTGCCATTGCCTTCTGTTAAGAGTTTGGGTGTTATCCGTGATGCCTCCCTTTCCATGGAGGCGCAGGTTACAGCAACAGCCAAGGCGACATTTTTCCACCTTCGCCGCATCAAGCAGTTGGTCCCTTACCTTTCCCGCCCTGCCCTGGCCGCAGTAATCCATGCAACGGTCACCTCCAGGCTTGACTACTGTAATTCGCTCTACACGGGGCTGCCCTTGAAGCAGTCCCGGACACTCCAGCGGGTGCAGAATGCTGCAGCGAGGCTCCTCACGGGGTCTCTGCCATGAGAGCATATTCACACAGTGCTTTTCCAGCAGCACTGGCTCCCGGTGGAGTACAGGGTCAGATTTAAGGTGCTGGTTTTGACCTTTAAAGCACTTCACAGCCTAGGACCCTCATACCTACGGCACCACCTCTCCTGGTATGCCCCACGGGGAGCCTCAAGGTCCATAAATAGCAACACCCTAGTGGTCCCAGGCCCTAAGGAAGTTAGATTAGCTTCAACCAGAGCCAGGGCCTTTTCAACTCTGGTAAGGTGTTCTGGTTTTTGTTTTCCTCTTCCCTTCCTGTCCTTTTTCGCTTGTGTTCCATGTTTAGTTTTTTGGTTTTTAAATTGTACATAAGCCACTCTGGAAGCCTTTTGGCAGGAAAACATAGTAGGGAGAAGCATATAATGGGGGCAATGGATATAAAACAACACACATAACAAAAACAATCATGTTAAGCAAAATTCATCCAAAAAAGTGCAGAGGAGGAGGAAAGCAAACTGAAACGTTTCTTTCTTGGTAGGTATGGAAACTGCAGTTGAACTGAACAGTCCAACCAAAAGAGGTTGCATCAAACTGCACAATGGCCAAGCTGTTACCCAAAATTCCACTTCCTTTCTATCCAGGCACCATGAAGTTGGGAGCAGCTTTTTATGAGATGAAGGGAAATCTGTTAATTGATATGGAAAGAGAACAGGATGAGAAAGATTGTTCTGCAGATAAATCTTGGGATGGTCTGTAAGATGAATAAATTGCCTAGGGTGAGTTAAGAAAAAATGGCCTGGATGGTTCAGATGCTGACAGCTGCAAGAAATACCTGCTTGCAGACACATTGGAAACACTACTGGGGAGATTGCAGAAAATACCACTCTCAGAGAGGGCACAAATGGCAAGGTATTTCTGAAGCTCAGAACAGCTGTAATTCTGATTAGCAGATGTTAAAAGCAAAGGGGAACCTTCAGTAGAATGGAATGAAGGCAGACTCAGTCACCTGTTATGTGGGTCTGTGGGTGCATTATCTGCTATTTTTTCTCCCCTTCCATTAGCAACCTGTAAAATTTAGGTTTCAGCTGTGCTGAAAAGATCCCAGGAGCAGTAATAATAATAAACACAATTTTATTATTCATACCCCACCCAACTGGCTGGTGCAGCTGAGTGTCAGCACCCTTACAAGGTTCAGGAATCAGCTGGAGTGTTTGCGTGCTGAGGTCCCCAAAACACCCCTACCCCAATAACTCACACATCACACATAATTTTTTGTTTAAGGTTTTTGGCATAATTTTGGCCACAACTTTATTATAATACAAATTGTGAGTGGTTGCTTAGGCATTGGTTTTGACTAGCTGCCCCCCCCCCCGCCTTGGGGGACAGCACTGACTCCCGGATTCCACCGGGAGCCAGTGTGGAGGAACAAGTTCAGGGATAACTGGAGCTGCGACACAGACCCTCAGCTTCTCCCTGCATGCTCCCAGGAGCTTACGCGGCCCGCACCCGATTCCAGGGGTTTGGACGAGAGGATGGTAAGCCCCTGAATTCCTTTAATGGAATTCCCGTGCAGCAGCAGCATTGGAGGGGCAGGCACAGCCAATCCATACCCCTCCACCAACTAATTTAAACCAATGCCCAACCACCAACCTTACAAGTTGTGACGATTTGCTACGCAGTAGGCAAAAACCAAATGGCACACACTAATCAGCCAAAAGGAAAAATTCCTACCAGGCCCCCGCAGCAATGCGGATGACCCCATGACAGGCATAGCAAGGTCAAAGCACAAGCCCAATCAAGGGAGGGCGGGCGGGATCCGGTGCCCACAGCGAAAGAGAAAGGAACATGCTGTGAGCCTTGTTTAAATAACCTCTGTTCCCACCCCTAAATTGGCAACATCAAATTTACCCCAGTAACACCAACCACCAATCCTATCCAAGCCCCTTCAATCTATCCTGCCTGGCAAACCATGGGGTGCTTTGCTCGGCCCCATCTGCAACACGTGCTCTCCTTTAATGAGAAACAAGCTTTGCAGAGAAGGGACCAATCTGACCCTTGCTAATGTTGGCCAATGAAATAGTAGTTAGCAGGTTGCGAGGCAGCAGAAGCCTTTAAAAGTTGGTCATCCCATTAAATGCGCAGGGTTCTAGTTTGGCAAAAAAGTAGTTGGCAACCATTTTGCCCCCTTTAAACAAATTTATTTCCCATCTTTTTTACACAAGGCAACTTGGCTGTGAACTATTAGGAGGAACTTGCCAATTCCCAGCAGCTACAAACTGTGTCAATGGAGAAATTACAGGGGTCTCCTGTGGCAGCAATGGAACCTGCTGCAGGGATAAGTGATTTCCATTGAGTTCTTTTTGCAAAAGAGATAAATATGCAGTAAATATATATATATATAAACAAAAAGGTAAAGGTAAAGGACCCCTGACAGTTAAGTCCAGTCGTGAAAAAGTCTGGGGTTGGGTGTTCAGCTCGCTTTACTGGCTGAGGGAGCCCTCGTCTGTCTGCAGACAGTTTTTCCAGGTCATGTGGCCAGCATGACTAAGCTGCTTCTGGCAAAACCAGAGTAGCACACGGAAATGCTGGTTACCTTCCTGCTGCAGCAGTACCTTATTTATCAACTTGCACTTTGACATGCTTCCGAACTGCTAGGTGGGCAGGAGCTGGGACCGAGCAATGGGAACTCAACCCATCGTGGGGATTCGAATGATGACCTTCCGGATGGCAAGCCCGTAGTGGACCGGTAAGATGCCCCCCAAATCAACCATTCTATGTAACATTGATGATGTTGACCGGAGTATCAGTCAAATCAGGACTTCCCATGCCTGACAATCCAAATCTGTGAAAACTCCACCATGAGGTCACCAGCTGGCCTCAGGTTAACCACGCTTTCACTCTCAGCCTCGATCTCCCCATCGGTATTATGGGACATAATAATACATAATAATACTGACTTGCTGTTACAGTAGGCTTTCAATATTATTTATTTATTTACTCATTGCATTTATATCCCACCTTTTTCTCCACGGAGGTCAAGGTGGCTTCTATGGCTCTTCCTAATTTAATCCTCACAACATCCCTGCGAGGCAGAGTGAGTGACTGGCCCAAGACCACCCAGGGAGCCACATGATGAGGCTAGATTTGAAGGCTGGTCTCCCATTTCCTTGTCTAGGAACTCAGGCTACCACCTTGAAAGTGCTCTTCCAATGCTCAAAACAAAATGTCCATGAAATTCATGTTTCTGTTTTGTACACGAAGTCCTCTCAAATAATGACAATTTACTCCCCTCTCTTTTGCACAGGTTCTTCTCCATTGTGTAGAGTCTTGGGAGGATATTGCCAGGCCCCAAGGACTGTGAACTGTCCCTTTGGAGAGAATACATTGGCCTTCTGTGGCCCTAATGCACGCTGCTGTAGGAGTAAGTGATACCCATGAGTTGGTGGTCCCACTCACTTGCGAACGTTCGTTCATTTTCAATCCTGATTTCCTGTTTCTTGTTTCACAGGAGGAAGCAGAAGCAGGGCTTTCCTTGTGCTAGGAAATAGTCACGGATCAGTTTATGGATCAGAGTAGCTGATGATACACACAGGGCATATTAACTCTATATTTAGAAGCACAAAGTTAGATTCAGTTCTGATGCAGCACTTCTAGGTTCTGCATCTTCTTTTAAGGATTAGGGCCTCAAGGTTTTCATCTGTCCACAGGGAATTTTGATACCGCCGGTGTTCATATGGATGCAAACTGTGCAGGCTGCACTTGCTATGGCCATGAAAACTGGCAGTTCTGATCTCACTCTCCAAAATTTTAAGATAGTGCGAAGTAAGTGAAGTTGAGTCAGTTGTCTGCTGCTGCTGAAAGAACGCAAGTGTGATTTGGCCACAAAGAGTACTGCTTAATGCTTACCAGACCTCACCTGAAGTGGAAGAATACATCAGAATAGGAGCTAGAAACCTTATGGTCCCAAAGGACCTGAACCAGGGGTGCATCCATCACCAAGGAACACTAGGAAGGCCAAGATGGTGATAGAAATTGCTTTATTTTAGAAATCTTAGAGAAATAAATAGTTTTCTCATCTCCAACAACAGCAATCTGAGGATGGAAATGAGAAATCATTTCATAGATCCATTCTTGTCTGTGGGCAGTTCTGAACCCAGATTTTAAGAAGGCAAACTACTGATTTGAGTGTCTCCCAAGGCAGATGAAATTTAAGCCTCTGAAAACTTGTTTTTGTTTTGTTTTTGCAATAGAGAAAAAGACGCAGGAAATGAATGAATGGATGAAGGAATGAATGAGGTCCCTCCAAACTTGACCATACTATGTAAAATTGATGATGTTGACTGGAGCATCAGTCAAATCAGGACGTCCCATGCCTGACGATGTAGTCCAGTGAGATTCCACCATGAGCTCCTCAGCTGGCTTTTTAGCAAACCACGCTTTCACTCTGAGCCTCGATCTCTCCATCAGTATTATGGGACATAATAATACTGACTTGCTGTTACAGAAGGCTTTGAATATTTATTAACTCATTGCATTTATATCCCACCTTTTTCTCCATGGAGCTCAAGGTGCCTTCTGTGGTTCTTGCTAATTTAATCCTCACAACAACCCTGAGAGGCCCAAGGAGACACTGTGAGCCTCGTGATGAGGCCGGATTTGAAGGCTGGTCTCCCATTTCCTGGTCCAGGACCTCAGGCTCTCATGCTTGGAAGTGCTATTCCAATACTCAAAACAAAACATCAGTCAAATGAATGTTTATGTTTTGCACAAGGAGTTCTCTCAAATAATGAAAATCTACTTCCCTCTCTTTTGCACAGATGAACCTACATTGTGTACACTCTTGGGAGGATTTTGCGAGGCCCCAAGGACTGTGAACTGTACCTTTGGAGAGATTACAAACGTCTCCTGTGGCCCTAATGCACGCTGCTGTAGGAGTAAGTGATACCCATGATTGGTCCCACTCACATGTGAATGTTTGCTCATTTTTAAACCTGATTTCCTGATCTACACTCTACATCTTCACTGGAGGAAGCAGGGCTATGTTTGTGCTAAAGGAAATAATCACTGAACAGTTTGTGGATCAGAGTAGCTGATAATACGCTCAGGGCATATTAATTCTATTTTTAGAAGTAGAAAGTTGGATTCAGTCTTGATGCAGCACTTCTAGGTTCTGCATCTTCTTTTAAGCAACAAAGATTCCCACTTCATTCTGCACTCACCAGAACTCACCTGAAGTACAAAAATAATGTTGACCAGAGCATCAGTCAAATCAGGACTTCCCATGCCTGACAATCCAAGTCTGTGAGACTCCACCATGAGCTCACCAGCTGGCCTGTGGATAATCACACTTTCACTCTCAGCCTCGATCTCCCCATCGGCATTATGGGACATGGTAATACTGACTTGCTGTTACAGAAGGGCTTTGAATATTTGTTTGTTTGTTTGTTTGTTTGTTTGTTGCATTTATGTCCCACCTTTTCCCCCATGGAGCGCAAGGTGCCTTCTGTGGTTCTTCCTAATTTAATCCTCACAACAACCCTGCGAGGCAGATCAGGCTAAAAGTGAGTGACTGTCCCAAGGCCACTCTGTGAGCCTCATGATGAGGCCGGATTTGAAGGCTGGTCTCCCATTTCCTAGTCCAGGACCTCAGGCTCTCATACTTGGAAGTGCTATTCCAATGCTCAAAACGCCCGTCAAATTAACGTTTCTGTATTGCACAAGGAGTTCTCTCAAATGATGAAAATCAACTTCCCTCTCTTTTGCACAGATGAACCTCCATTGTGTACACTCTTGGGAGGATTTTGCCAGGGCCCAAGGACTGCGAACTGTACCTATGAAGAGATTACAAACGTCTCCTGTGGCCCTAATGCACTCTGCTGTAGGAGTAAGTGATACCCATGAGTTGGTCCCACTCACATGTGAATGTTTCCTCATTTTTCATCCTGTTTTCCTGATCTGCACTCTGCATCTTCACTGGAGGAAGCAGAAGCAGGGCTTTTCTTGTGCTAAAGGGAATAGTGGTCAATCACTTTATAAATCAGGACATATTAACCCTATTTTTATACAGTATGTCTAAATTTGGATTCAGTTTTGATGCAGCACTTCTATAGCAATAGTGCCACTGTATTCTGCTCTGGTCAGACCTCACCTGGAGTACTGTGTCCAGTTCTGGGCACCACAGTTCAAGAAGGACACTGACAAACTGGAACGTGTCCAGAGGAGGGCAATCAAAATGGTCAAAGGCCTGGAAACGATGCCTTATGAGGAACGGCTAAGGGAGCTGGGCATGTTTAGCCTGGAGAAGAGGAGGTTAAGGGGTGATATGATAGCCATGTTCAAATATATAAAAGGATGTCACATAGAGGAGGGAGAAAGGTTGTTTTCTGCTGCTCCAGAGAAGCGGACACGGAGCAATGGATCCAAACTACAAGAAAGAAGATTCCACCTAAGCATTAGGAAGAACTTCCTGACAGTAAGAGCTGTTCGACAGTGGAGTTTGCTGCCAAGGAGTGTGGTGGAGTCTCCTTCTTTGGAGGTCTTTAAGCAGAGGTTTGACAACCATATGTCAGGAGTGCTCTGATGGTGTTTCCTGCTTGGCAGGGGGTTGGACTCGATGGCCCTTGTGGTCTCTTCCAACTCTATGATTCTATGATTCTAGGTTCTGCATCTTCTTTTAAGCATTAGAGCCTCAAGGTTTTCCTCCGTGCACAGGGAATTTTGATAACACAGATATTTCGTATGGGTACAAACTAATGGGGCCTCCCACTGCTATCGCGCAGCCAGAGCATGATTTGTGTTCTCATCCTGAAGCAAAGTTCTTAACCTGAGGAACTATTTCTGGGTTAGCGGAGTCTGTAACCTGAAGCATATGGAACCTGAAGCATATGTAACCCAAGGTACCACTGTAGTTAATTCTGCCTTTTAGAAATACTGGAGAAATGAATTGAAAAGCAATCTGAGGCTGGAGATGAGAAATAATTTAATAGATCTATTCTAGCCTGTGGCCAGTTCTGAACCCACGTTTTAAAAAGGAAAACGACTGATTTGAGTGTCTCCTAAGTCAAGTGACCGGAAGGGTACAAGATTTGAAAGCTGTTTGTTTTGAAGAGCATTGGAGGAGCTCAGCATGTTTTGCCTGGAGAAGAGAAGGTTAATTTGAGGGAGAGACATGATTGCAGCCTCTAAATATTTGCACGGCTGCCATGTGGAAGTTGTTCCATAGGCCAGGACTAGAACCAAAGGGGTGGAAATGACAGAGAAGCAGGTTTTGAGGGACAATCTGTGAAGGATCTTGTTATTGAAGATCCTGCATTGAACAAGAGTTGGACTAGTTGATTTCCAGGTCATTTTTGGCTCTCCATCCAGCTGTTAGCTCACTGAACATTCTGCTAATAAATCACATTTTAGTAGGATTATTTTCTTCTCCAAATCTTCTTTTCTTTTCTAAAAAACCACACAAACTAATTTTTATTTAGGAAGGTTTATTTATTACTTCAATTTTTATCCTGCTCTTCTTCCCAAAGGAGACTTGGGAACAGATATCTCTAATCACTTCATATAGAAATATTCATATTAAACTATTTTTAATTATGTTATTTATTTGACTTATATACCACCCTTCATCAAAAGATCCCAGGGTGGTTCACGAGATAAACACAAAAGATAAAAGCACAGATCTATAAGGACAAAAAATTGAAAAGTGATTTTTGTTGCATGCCTTTTCTGATTATAAGTCTCAGATCGGGGCTTTTTTCTCTTCTTTTTACGACTTGCTATCTGTAAGACCCGGTGAACCATTACTTTGTTTTTGTCATTTACTTTGGCAAAAGAAATCAAAATACAGTAGATAAATAAGGTCCCTCTTACAGTAGATAAATAAGGACCCTCTTAAGGTCCCTCTAAATACACCCATTCTGTCAAAAAATTATGTAATTGACCAGAGCTTCAGTCAAATTAAGACTTTCTTCTCCATGCCTGTCCATCTAAATCACTGACCATATTTGTGTCTAGGACAAGGTGTCTGTTGGGTTCTGTGCTATAGTAAGTCTAGGAAAAATTGGCGCAAGAGGAGACAAGGTGCAGGCTGCCCTCTGAGGAATACAGCTCTAAAGCTGCTCCATCAAGGAACAAGCTGAATTGGGGGCTTTATGTTGTAGCAGCAGCAGCCGAATAGAAAAACAGTGTGGTGTAGGAGTTAGAGTGCTGGAGGAGGACCTGGCAGATCAGGATTCAAGTCCCCACTTGGCCAAGAAGCTCACCTTGGGCCAGTCACTGCAACTCAGCCTAATCTACTTAACAGGGTGGTTGTGAAGATAAAATGGAGATGAGAGAATTATATACACCATGTGGGGCTCCTTGGAAAAATGGTGCAATATAAATATCAGAATAAAAAGATAAAATAATAGTTAGCACCACCTTTACCTGCAAGGTGCTGTGTCACTTTGAGGGTCCAGCCTTTGCCATCACCTCCTACATCAATGGAGTGTGGGATCCTCAGGTCTCCCTGCGTTTTCGTGTGGTGGAGTGCTCAAAGTCAGCGGCTGCCAGTGGCCCATCCTCACATCCAGGATGGGTCAGAGGATGTCAGCACTGATGTTCCTCTGAGAGCTCTTCTGGGGCTGGGCCTGCATGTCCTCTTCCTTTCTGCTACAGATTCCTTAAATGTTCCACTGAGTCCTTCCAACACTACAGTTCTATGATCCTCCCTCATCTCCTGAAGGTGAGCAATCCGACTCCAGGTTCATGAAAGTGCCATCAATTATAGATTTCTTTCTTTCTTTTATGCAGGATAATTATCAATGTAAGAGGAAAAGGGGGGTTCTGCCAGGAGGAACTCACCAAACGCTGCCCATCTGGTCTTACTCTTCCTGCTTGCTGTGGCTTCAGTGCACAATGCTGTGCCCTTGAGTGACATCAGTGAGCAGCCCACATCCATGGTTGAGAACGCCTGATGGCTACGCTGATTCTTCTGGATCTTTGCTTCTGGAAGTGGGCCTGATCAATCCATTTGTGAAGCAAGCAATGAAACAAAGATCAGTCTGTTCAGATGATCATCAAATTAAACACATATTAACCTGCAAATTCGAAATTGTATTTTTTTTATTTTTTGCAAAAGGATCTATGACTAAATCTGACCCTCCTCTGGTGGAAGTGCATAATATCTGCCCCAAATTCCTCTTCACTGAAGTTCTTATCCCCGGGTCCCAGGAGCAGATAACTGCAGCCAATGCTTTCCATGCACCCAGGCAGAGCTTGGGTTTCGCTGCCCAGTTGGTTATGTGAACACGGGTGGGATAGGCTGAACTCAACCCAGACTTGAGCCATGACCTAAATGGAGCTGATTATTCAGGAGCCACTGCCTTGTGGGTGCCCATAGGTCATTGGGAGTGGTATTTGATGCTGCTGAATGCACATCAGGTTTATTGATTTCTATGGGTGTACTCTAAGTAGGACGCAGAATTTTCTGAAGGGGTGTTTTCTGGAATTTTGAGAAGGAAAGAAGGAACTCAGAGAGGTGCCAGGGAGAGAGTGTAGACTAAAGAGTAGGGAAGGGCTATTGCTGCCTAGTGATCAAGATCCCAGATTCAGTCATTGATCTGGCTCTTTCTTTTCAACTTTAATTTACATACATTAATTCACAACATAGCCAAGTATAATTGCAGATCACAATTAAAATAAAATACAAGCAGAAAGGGATATCTAAAGTTCAACACATAGGAACACATATCTATGCCACTTTCAATTTGTTTGTTTATTTAGACATTTCTCTCCCAACTTTCCTCAGGGAACTCAAGGCGATGTACATTGTTTTCTCCCGTGAGTCCATGTCTCCCAGGTCTTAGACCAATACCACACTGGTGCCATTGCCCTTAGTTCCATAGTCACCACTACCTAAAAGGCCCTCTGCCTGCTTCCCTGTAACCTCTCCTCTCCCAATGAAGGAAACGCCAGAAGGTCCTTGGAGCTGGACCTCCGTGTCCAGGCTGAATGATGAGGGTAGATATGCTCCTTCAGGTATACTTCCACAATGGGATCATTGACTAGTTAGGAAGACTCCAGGGAGGAGAAAGAAATCAGCAGTGGAAAGGAGAAACAATGTTAGGAAACCAGGTTGGGGCAGCGGGCGCTGAAATGAACTGAGGAGGGGGTATTTGGGCGGGGGAGGGGAGGTAGTGTCGGTGGCTACCTTGAGTGGGCTGAGCTCATCCTCATGCTGCTTATAATTTCTCCCCCCTCTCCCTTTGGCTTCAACCCATGCAGAATATACCAGGGCTTGTGGGAATTGCAGTTCATGGATGATGGGAATTGTAGTCCAACAATAGGAGGGTCACAGATCCACTATGCCTAATGTCAAGTCAAGATTGCTTATTCATCAACAGTTCTGAATCAACTGGGACATCCCGGAATTACAGAAGCTATCCCAGTTTCTGATTGGATGTTCCGGTTTTTGTGCTGAGCTCCATCGACAGTCATCTGGCTCTTGGTTGTCTGGCAGAAATTCCAGTAAAGTGGGCAAGCCTTGGGTGTGTCACAGTTTAGAAACACTGATGTTATGTACTGAGTTGAATAGGATCCAAAAGGCAGCAGTCTGATTGGTCCTAGAAGAATAGGATTCAGAATGCAGCAGTCTTATTGGCCCAGAACAATGCAGCAGTATGATTGGTCTGCAGGAGCCACCCAATCCAGCTCCAGGTGGAAGTGAATCTACAACCTGATTGGCCTACAGGAGAATCCCAGAATTAGCCAATCACTTGCGGCCCATTGTGTAAATAATGTATATAAAGCAGACATTTCGGGGGAACTTTCATTCCTCAATGTTAGGATATTTCCGTTCCAGCTTAAAAATGGAGCAGGCTGTTGTGTGTCACAAGCCTGTGTACGT